GGTGGAAATGGACTCAGACGGAAAGCCCTGTAAGGCCATTGTGACCCTGAGCCCCCATCTGAGAGTGGCAGGCCCTTGAGGGGTCCTTCCTGTCCACCAGGAGCACTTCCCTGTGAGGGCACCGCTGTGAGCTGACAGGACCCAGCACGGGGGTGGGGAGGATGGGTGAGTCCTGAGGAGGGGATGCAGGAGGATCCTTAGTGTCCCCTGTACGGGTTTGCTGTGTTCACAGCCCAGGCTTCCAGGACACCCCAGGGCTACCTGAGCTTGGGTGAGGTGGGTAGTTCGGGGAATAAATCCAGGAGAGGTGACCAATGAGAGGCTCAGTGACCATTACAAGGATAATTAGGGTCCATTACCATGGATGTGTGTCCTGGTCTGTGTGTCCTTCCACTTATGCTTTTGTCTGTGACTCACATGCAGGCCTTGGAAGCAGCAGGTCAGTCCTGTCCTGTGAGACTGAATCCACTGCTGTCCCACCCTCTGCACAGCTGCCTGAGGCTGAGGAGGCGGCCACCTGAGGATCTGAGGTCTGGGGACTGGGGCCAGACCTGCTCATGGCTTTGTCTCTGGTCCTATTTGTGTCAAAAGGGAGTGTGACACAGACGGGCAAGGTGGTTTTTGTCTCACTTCCCCGTTGGCCTGTGTCACTGTGGCAATATCACTGCCGTACCATGTGTTACAGTAATAGTCAGCCTCGTCCTCAGACTGGAGGTTGGAGATGGTCAAGTAGCGGTCCGCCCCAGAGCTGGAGCCCGAGAACCGGTTGGGGATCCCGTCCCCCTTGCCGTAGCTTCCACTGCTGCTAAGATACATCAAATACCGAGGGGCCTTCCCTGGCTGCTGCTGGTACCATGCAATGGTGTAGCTGCTGTGCTCACTGCTGAGGGTGCAGGTGAGCTTGGCCGAGGCTCCCAGGGAGGCAGAAGCAGACGGGGGCTGGGTCAGCACAGGACCAGCACAGAGACCTGCAAACAAAAATCACAGGAATGATGCCTAAAGCACTCAGACTGGACAGATGCCCAGTGGAACTGTCCTTGGAGGGAAGCTGGCTCCCTGAGTGCCCAGGGATGCACTGACCTGTGGAGAAAACCAGGGGCAGGAGGTAGAAGGGAGCCCAGTCCATGGTGAGAGAGGCTTCCAGGAGCTCTGCCCTGTGGCTGCCCAGCTGGCACTGGCCTGTCTAAGCTCCTGTCTTATCCTCTGTCCTTGCAGCTCAAGAGGGAGGAGCATTGAATGCAAATCTGTTCACTGTTGCTCAGCTTGTCTGTCTCAGCCAGAGTCTGATCCCTGAGCCTAACAGCTTCTTGCCTGTGATTTCCTGAGGTCAGAAAAAGGTCCAGGTGTTGGTTTCATTGTTAAGAATTGATTTTACACAATAGACCTGTCTTCAAAGTAATCTCAGTCATGCCCTTTGCACTTGAGCACAGCCAAGGGCACCTACCCTAAAAGTTTCCCAATCGAGAATCCACAGTGCCCCCTGCTGTGCACAGGATGAAATCATCCTACATGTGTAGCTAGTTCATCAGATGGATATTTCTAAGAACTTAAAGGATGGTTAACCTTGGTGAGTGTTTTATACTCAACCCTCACCTGACGTCAAAATAACCTGACATCAGAATAACCCCACAACGTCCCTGAGCTGAAGGTCCAGCCCATGAGCTGGGGGCTGTCATTGAGAGGTTATGATTTTCCTAGAGTCCCCCAGACAGTGAAGAGGAATCAAGACTTGAATCCAGGAGGCCGACCCAGAGCATGAGTGTTAGGTCCTCTCCTTGCTTCACCCCTCTCTGGGCCGCGTGTCCCTGCGGCCCCCACCCCAGGACCCCTGTCACCACTCTCTTTTCTTTTCACAGGGTGCTGTACCCCAGGAGTCTGCTATGAAGAGCGCCCAGGTCCTCATGTATTGTCACCTGAGCTTCCCAGTGACACATGGGACTGTCTGTGGGAAACCTGGGGACCCTCCCACAGCTCCCTCCCTGGCAGAGGGCACAGGGTCCCATGTCAAAGGGGCATTGGCATCAGGGGACTGGACAGAGTTCATTTCAGGCTGGGTCTCTAACAGTTTGTGTCAGGGTTGTTTTCTCACATGGTCAGAGCCATTGAGTTTCCATAAGTGTCAGTGTTGGGAGAGAAGCCTTTTAAGTTTATAAAACTGTAAAATTTTACATTTTCAAGACAGCACTTTTGTTACCTGATGTCCCAAACAAATACATAAGCTGTCCCCCTGGTGGTGCTGAGGGTGCAGTGAAGTGAGTTCATGTACAAAATGCTGGAGGCCTTGCCCTTGTAGGGGACTGCGCAGCCCTGTGGTGACTCATGTGCGCAGACAGACAGACCTCTGACTCACTCCTCAGAGATGGTCTGAGGGACAGTGGAGAGGGGACCAGGGTCTTGTTCCTGAGACACGCCTCCCACTGTCCCCAGCTGAGGGGACCACAGCAGCTACTCTCTGCCCCCCCACCCCAAGGTGTCCACTCCTCACACTCACATCTCAGGGACCCATGGGACCCACTGGCCAGTGCTCACACCTGTGCCGTGGTCTCCTGACCACCTGGGAGGTCACCTGTGAGTGCCATCCTGGGAGATTTTACCACCTTCAAACCATGATCTGCACCTGTGAGGTAGGGAATTATATTCCTTTGTGGAGAATAACAAGTAAACATATTTGGCCAGTATTTCCTTAAATAATTTGCATACATTCCACCAAACCTTTTTGCTTTAAAGATTGAAATCACACTCATATGAAGCCCCCTCCGTGTTGTCCAGCACAGTGACACTTCTGTGTGAGTTTTCAGTGAGGTTTTGTGTCTGTGTCTCACGTCCTCTCCGCAGTTCCTCCTCCACGTCATCTGTCCCTCTCTTTTCTCTGCGCAGATGAACCTGCTGTCAGTCACATCACGGGTCATTGTGTCTCAGACGCTGTAGTTTCCACGTCTGTGTGGTGACTTGGCTGTGGTGTTTGTCCTCCTGGTCTGCAATTACCGCGTCCAGTCATTCTCCCACACCCCGGAACACATGGAGTGCAAATTTCCTTAAAATCCTTGACTAACTATTCAATTATCTCTGAAATTTCATTCTTTTTCATGAGGGAGATTGAAATTTCATGAAGGAGAGCAGGTCTCTGTGCTGCACAGACGGTGCCTTCCTCTGGTGACTGTCCCTGAGCTGTGATGGCAGGTGGACAGGAGTGAAGCCACTCCCAGGGTGGTGCTAGGAGGGACGGTCACACAGGCACGTTCCAGGCCCCCCCTGACCTGCTGCAGCTGCATCTTAGTCCGTCCCAGGGGACCTGTGTGTTCTGGCCTCAGTCACCATGGAAACTCTCACTTCCTCCTGCTGTGTCCCCAGCTGCTTCCTAGGCCACTGGGATCTTGGTGCTGAACTGTCCTGCCCTCCCAGACTGAGGTTCATTCAGGTGCTGGACCTTGTCATGTTGTGGAGAAAAGTGTTTTATACAGACATGTGGGGTGTGTTTGGAGAGAAGGTGGGGTCCCTTTCTCTCCTTGGTCTTTATTATTTTCTGCCCCATTTTGAATAGTTAACTGACTATCTCATCCCATTCACTTTAATCCCCAATATTACAGCTCTTATACCCAGGTTTCCAATCTTGATTTTTGGCCTCTGTGTCTTCTCTTGCTGTGTCAAATCATTCCTCCTCCCTTATGATCAGAGGAAATACCGTTATGGTCACATTTTCAGTGTCCTACTCCCCAAACTGGGTAACTGCAAGGCCCTTTGGGATAAAATGGTTTTAAATTCATAACAGTCCTGTTTTCCTGATTATTCACAGGAAAGTCTGACAGGGTGTCAGGCAACGGGACTGATTCTTGTTGGATCTGGAACACGTGTGTGTCCCCCTGTGTCCGTGATTCCCACTTGGGGTTCAGTGACTTGCCTGGTGACAGGTCCGTCCTATGTCTACCTGCTCTTACTGACGCTTTCTGAGATGCCACCAGTGCACACCTTGGTTGGGGACTAAGTTCCCCACTGTGGGACACAGATCCTCTGACTGGTCCGCCTGATGCCTGAACTGGGAGCTTCCCCCCAACTGGGCACAAGCACTGCAGGCTGGTGTGCTGACCTGTGACCGTCCCCTCCCGTGCCCTTGGGTGGCTCCCTCCTCAGCCTCAGCTGGTTTCCTCCCACATGTGCTCACCCATCTCAGGGGAACCCTTGCAGACACCCAGAGTGTCACCTCTGTGGGACCCTCTCCTCTTCCACATGCTCTCCCTAGGCTGTTATTTCTCTCTGGAGCCCTGGACACTCCCTCTGACAAGGAGAACCTACTCAGGGGGGTGTCAGGGGGTTTCTCTGGAGGGAAGCTCAGAGGCAAGACCTGGGAACTGCAACGTGGTATCAGTGGAGGACTCAGCTGGAGGCTGCTAGGTCCTTGTGACCTGAGGCAGGGCCTGGATCTTGGCATCAGGTGGTCACGAATGTGAGTCACACTCAGGGAATGGAATGACCCTGAGGGAGGCAATTCTCTGCCCCGTTGGAACTTCCCAGTGAGGGCACAGCCGTGGTCACCGGGGCTTCAGCAGGGGTGCTGGGTGTGCAGACGCTGGTTGGCCCCATTCAGAGTCCTGGGTGGCCACAGAGCCTGGGGCCTGTGGAGCTCAGCTGAGCGGGCAGCTCTGGGCATGAATCCAGAGCATTTTGCCAAGGAACGACCCAGTCACCCTGATACAGAAATTCGAGGACTGTTGCCTTTGAACACAGGTTCTGGCTGTCTGTCATTTCTCCTGCCATCTTTTCAGAATTGAGTTGGGGGCCCAGACACAGCAGGCCAGCCTGGTCCTGCCACCCTAAAGCCACTCCTGACCCACCCTCTGCACAGCTGCCTGAGGCTGGGAGGTAGGGGCCACTTAGAGACCTGAGAAATGGGACCTGGGCCAAAGCTGCTCATGGCCTTGTCTGCAGTCCTTGTGGGGCCTGAAGACAGTGTGACACAGACTGAGGTTTTTGTCTCACTTCCCCGTCTGCCTGTGTCACCGTGAGTATTAGCACTACCATCCCACACTGCACAGTAATAATCAGCCTCGTCCTCAGCCCGGGCCCCGCTGATGGTCAGGGTGTTGGTGTCCCCTGAGTGAGAACTAGAGAATCGGTCAGGGATCACTGAAGTCCGGTTCTTGTCACCGTAGATGACTGTTACAGGGGCCTGGCCTGCCTTCTGCTGGAGCCAGGCAGGAAGATATTTTCTTATGGCCTCTCCCTGGCAGGTGATCCTGGCTGTCTGTCCCAGGGACACAGACACTGCTGAGGGCTGAGTCACTTCAGAAGAGGCCACCAAACCTGTAAGAGAGGACAGGAGAGGTGAGTGTGAGGATGCGGGTCTCCTTTCCAGGTAAGGCACATCCTTGGACCTGAGCAATGTTCAGGGCCAGGTTGCTCCTGGTTTCTGTGGGGGCTTAGCCTTGGGAGTCAGCACCTGTGCAGAGAGTGAGCAGGGGGAGCAGGAGAGGGGTCCAGGCCATGGTGGAGACGCCCCAGGATCTTCCTCTGACCCACACCTGAGGCTATGGCTTCAGGGCCTGTCTTATCCTGAATAGGGGGCTCCATGCAAATCCACTTCCTTCCTCTTGTGCCCTTGCCAAGTGGCACCCACTGAGCAGAGAGCAGCTGGGACCAGTGGAGGGTTTAAAGTTGGATCCTCATGTCCAGGTGTGAGCCTGGGTTGCTCAGAGCTCTGGGTGGTGTTGAGGGGACAGTGCTGACCCCTGACCAGCCCCTGCACCCACACTTGGGCTGAGTCTCCTCTCTGGTCTTGGGGAGAACCCTCAGTCCCCTCCAGGGAGGAGATCACAGTGCAGGGTGGGGTGGGGGTGCTGGTTACAGGAGCTGGTCGGGACAGTGGTCAGGCTGGTGTGAGAGACTGGAATTTGCTCCAGGAATCAGTGAAACTGCTCATGTGTCTAGGAGAATTTTTATTACATTTTAGAAAAAAAAGGAAAAATCTCTTTTGTGTTTGTCTTGGCAAGAGTTCTTAGATTTCATAGACATGCTTGATATGTAAAAGGATAGAAAATCAATGGAAACCCTTTAAAATTAAAAACTTTGTTCTACAAAAGGGTCTTCTATAAAGTTAATTTAAGAAAATGGTAAAGTAAGAGAAAACACTTGGCAATCCCAACCCATCAAGAAACTATGTGTATAAAGTTTGAAACTAATTAAAACTAATTAATACTATTTGCAAAGCAAAAAGCCCTGGCTGGGGGCTCAGTTGGTTGGAGCAGCGTCCAAAGGCACCAGGGATTCGGGTCTGATGCTGGTTGAGGTGCAGACGGGAGCCGGACAATGAGTGGAGCAACAGAGGTGTGTTTTTCTCAAATCACTTAAATATTTTTAAATATAAATGAAACAAAATTCTATTTGAAAATGGGCAAATGACATAAATAGACAGGTGATGGAAACATATACAAATGTCGAAACACACACACGCAAAATGTCCATCAGTAGCCACCAGGGAAGAGAAGTTAAAACCACAGCAAGATACCTGGACACAGCTATCAGAGTGAATCAGACTGACTGAAGTGAAATCAGGGCAACACCAATTTCATTGGTCAGGTAGTGAGAAGGGGGTCACTCACTCAGTGCTGGAAGGAATGTCAGATGGCAGAGCCACAGTGGAGAAACGGTTGTGTGCTTACTATAAATTTGAACATGCAGTGACTGTGAGGGCAACTTTGCCAGCAAGTCCCCCTGTCCCCCACGGATGAAAGTAACACTACCAAGACACAATTTTCTTGGGGAGGAGAGGTGGCCAAACTCTCAGAGAAGAAAGGCCAAGAGCCCCTTCCTCCATGGCATTTATTGGGTTGTAATTCACAGGAATATGGGCAGCAAGGATCAAACAGTAGACAACATTTCAAAGAAATCTGAGGGCTTAGTCTGAGTCAGAGTCTGTCAGGTAAGGGGGTTGAAGAAACTTTGGGAGACACTAATTTCCTTCTTGGACCCTTAACATATAAATGAAAGCACTCTTAGCAAAGCAGGCTTCACAGGACTTTTAAGAGTTTTTTCTTATGCCAGATTAGCCCAGATCCTGCTCTAGCCAGTAGAGAACTGCCCCCCCACATCACAGGTTTTCAGGCTTAAGTGGATTAGAGCCAGGAAGCGCTTCTCCCACAGGACATGGAGACTCTGGTTATGTCAGAATAGCCAGGGGGCGAGGGTCCATCACTCCTTTGTTGCAACCCCACAAGTTCTTCCATATGGCCTCCCAAGTGATCCTGTCTGGCTTAGGTTGCCCCCCCTCTGAGGGGTCTTAGCCGTCATCAACTAACTGACCATGCATTGGGGGCAGGGGGGTGAAGCAGAGGCTGTGAGAGACACGCTTTGTCTTCTTAGTGGCTTCCATTCCAGAGGTCGCTCACTCAGTCTTAGCCATGGGGGGGCAGTTACAACTCCTGAAACCAGGCAGAGCGGCCCCCAACAATTCCCATACAACCCAGTCACTGCATCACTGGGCATTTATTTCAGAAATTTAAAAACTTATGTTTACACAGAAACCCATACACAAGTGTTCATAGCACCTGTCTAGGTACCTCAGGCTGTGGTAACCAAACACCACTGAGTTGCTTGTTGGCAATCAGAGAGAGAAAGGCTCTGGACATTGATCCCACCAGACCAGAGTCCTGCCCATAACACTTTCATTGGCTTTTATTACTTCCTTAGAGTCCCCACTCAAACACAGCTACACAGGGAGTAAGGACTTCAACATAGAAAATTTGGAAGACACAATCACTCAGTTCACACCAGCATCCTTACATGTAGGAGCCCCAAACTGAAAACAATTGAGATGTCCTTCAGGGTTAAGGTTAAACAGACATTGGTACATGTGAATCCCAGAATACTATTCAGCCAAAAAAATTGGACTATTGATACACACAGCAGCATTGACAAGTCTATTCACGTACCTCTTTCCCAAATTTATTTTTGCACCAATTTTCCAACATGTTCCCTTCCAAGTCCCTGACCATCCAGCCAAACTAATGACTCAAATACAATTGCATACCTGGCCATTTCTCCTTCCAAAGTGCACAGCGAGGTGAACTGCTACAAGTTCTGCACACTGGGAAAATTTCCTGTAACCACTGCTCTTCAGAGATGACCCAGAGAGGGGCTATATGCTGTGGCTCTCCTCTTTTTGGTGATTCTTGTGTGTTGTGCAGAACCATCTGTAAACCAGCCTTGAGGTTCATCTTCCTCTGTCAGCTGACTGTTGAAAGCTCTGTATGGGGCCAGGGAGAGAAGCTGGGAGACATAAGGCAGTGGAGCAGGACTAGGGACCATGGGCATTTGAACTACTTCATGGAACACACTTGTGCCTTCGGGAACGGTTTGGGTCTGGTTGCAGAAACACCACTTTCCTTTGTTAATGGAGTGTTGCCGTGCACGCCCAGCTTAATGCCTTGGTGGGTCTAATAACACCGAGTTTCTAATAGGCAGGCAGCTCAACCCACAAGCGAACTACACTCTGGAACTGGAGAAGTAACCTCCAAATGGACTCAAGGATACCTTGGGCCCACTGTGAGACAGACTGCAATAACACTCCATTGGTCTTCTGTCTCCATGTGCCCTTCTCTGCCTGGAGGGCCAAGTGATTTTTGAGTCTCTTGGAATCAGTGACAGTTCAGAGACAATGTCCAGGAGTTTCTAAAAAGTCTGTGAGTTTCTTTCCCCCAATGCACATGTATCCTGATAAAGAAGCCATTGGTTCCCTTTGGGGAAGGCAGGGAGAAAAATCAGCAGTGCACCTTTTCAGCAGTGTGCCAGGATCCTTCCTCAAGGGGACTTGGTCTCCCCATCACTCAAGGGATTCTGGGTCTGTGAACTGGCTCATGTCTAGGACCTGCCCGAGGGGCTGTGACTCTGCTTTTGAGATTTGGGTTGGCCTTTCATTCACTTCACCTAGAATTTTTCTGTTTATACAAATCAAGTGAGAATTTAGTGGTCTTTCTATGTTTTACTTCTAGGAACACCATGATTACCTAACCAGTGCCTGTACAAGTCAGGTCATTCCCATTGCTGCTTCGACCCTGTTGTCACCTACACTACCCACACTCACCTTGCCTTTGGCAGCTGGTCCCTTCACTTGGCTCCTGCCCTCCCTAAATCCAATCACTCCCACTGCATTTAGTTTTCTGATTGAGGGGCTGCTGCCCACTCTGTAAGACCTGGCCTAGAGAAGGGCAATCACGGAGCTCTTCAAGGGTGTTAAGGTTCCCTCATACCATAATTTCTCAAAATATTGGTGGAAAATATGTTGTTTGAACTCTCCCAGTGTGGGTCAGTAGGTCTTAAATGATAAATCCATTTTATATTCCAATGTCCCTCCTGCTCTGAATCTCTTCTTCTACATAAAACCACAGTAGGTCAAGCTTTTCCAGTTGGCTCACTATGGTCTGTCCTTTGATCTATGTTATAGCCAATGAATTAAACTGTTAGAGATTTCCCGAAGTCTCCAATTCTGCATGAAATATCAATACATTCAGCCTGATTCAGCATTATGTTCCTCCCACCATTATCCCACATCCTTAATATCTGTTCCCACACACACTCTTAGGAATTCTGTCTGTATAAACTAGAAGAATCCAGTAGTCTTTTTGGAGTGTAACGAACCTTCTGGTAGGTCACATTCTGTACACCACATTTGGAGGGACTGGCTGGGACTTGTGTTGAATTATAGGTCTAGTAGTAAACAGACTGGTGTGAATGAGTCCTGAGGATAAACAGCAGTGCCTTGCCTGTCAACTGCCTCTGGGTGGTCACACCTTTTCAGGGGAGGTAGGGTTAATCCTATCAGACAGAGGTGGAAAGACCTATACTACTGGGTGTGAGGAGGCTGCTTCTGCTGAAGTGGGGAGGAGAGCTTCTTCCACTGGCAAAGAAGACAGTCATCAGAATTGAGAGACTCAATATTTCCAGCCTCATCAAGATCTTCCCACACATTCACTTAACAGCTTATGAGATCGTAGTCTAATTTAGCCAATCAAAAGAAGAGGCCCTGCATTTGATTTTCAGCAATTTTAGCCAGCTGCTACATGGCTTAAAGCTTTCTTTCAGAGCACACCTACAAGCTCTTAAGTCATTTATAGGTCTCCTGAGCTGAGAATTGAAATACCTGATCTCTGCCTCATCTCTGTCTCCCAGCACTTTATCCAGTAATATTAGGAGCAAGCAACCAAGGTCACAATATTTCTTACTGTTCAAAAAATGTTCAGGGACATCATATACAGAATCACTTAGTTCCATGTTCCTTTTAAGTGATTGATTAGAAGTATCCAATGCAGATACATTGCTTATCTCGATAAATAGTTCAGCACTTGGATGATCTGTGCTCCCTTTACTAATGTAATAGAGTCATTAAACATCGTTACAGCTAATCAGATTAAACAGCCAATTGCAGAAATCTCAGAATCAATACAGAAAACTCATGATGACAATTCTATTTATTTAGAATGACTCAAGGTCAATAAATAAAATACATCTGTATTAAATCTGTATTAGTTAGGGTTCCCCAGAG